TATAGGTAGCAGCTGCTCCCTACATCTGCCATTCCTGTCTTATTTAGAGATGTCTTTGTCCCTCTTAGTAGTTAATTCCCTACTACTAGTCAGTAATCTTCATACTGAGTCTTCCTTGTTCAAATTACCGGTTTGCTTTCTTTCTCCTGAACAGATTCTAAACCCTGAATGATACCATAATTGGTAAGATTAAAAGACAATGTATATTTTCTAAATCACTAAGATAATTAAAACCAAGAAATTACAGTCCATTTTAGGGACATCAGTGAGAAAGTATAAGATGTGATCACAGACGACTAAAGTCATTAATTAGCATAAAAAATGAAACAGACCCAATAAAAAGGCAAAGGCTCTCCAAATGGTTTCAAATACAAAATCCAACAAGATACACTGTTTGAGACAACTAAAAATTATATATGAAAGTTGAAAATAAAAGGACAATTTATCATGCAAATGTAAGCAAAGAAAGAAGAGAAATTCTAATAACAAAGAAAGTAAAATTCCGGGCAAAAAGCATAAACACAACAAAAAGGATAGCTTTAGGCCATGAAGTATCCCTTATGAATTGTATGTAACAGACACAAGTATTTATATACTAAATAACAGTATCAAAATACACAAAGCAAAAGCTCTAGAGAAACATGAAATTGAGGGAAATAACTATGAGACTTTAAGAAAACACTATTATTCTTATAACAACAATAAGAACATTAAATTGGAATAATTGGTTGAATACGCATCTACCCCTGTCCTAAACAAACTAAATAAATCTTCATTTATAACATTCATAGAACACTTCTTAAAGCTGCCTGGCCCCCAAATCTCAATAAACAGGAACAACATAAGCCACGTTTTTTCTCTCCACAAGGTAAAAATCCTACAACTAGCAAAAAAAAAAAAATTTAAGCCAACTATATGGAAATTTTGAAAGAATTATTGAACCAGGTATTTAAAAGACAATGATAAAATACTTAGAAAGCAAGACTACTACATATCAAAATGGCTGGGATGTAAACATACTTGAACTTAAGAGTTCAAAAGCCTTCAACATATTTATTTGTACACAAGCAAAAAATAAACATCAGCCTCAAAAAGTTGGTCAAAAAAAATCTACAGAAAGCAAAATAAGTCTAATTGAGAAATTAACATATTTTAAAACAAAATCACAATCGATATGCAAATCAAAACACTAGTTTCCTGAACAGAAAATGTGTATCCTTAACAAGTCAAGTAAAAAGTGAAAGAATTAAGAGAAGGTATATTTCTTAGAACTTAGAAATGGCAAAGTTAATAGAAAAGAGATTGCTATTAGAATTCTCTGCTAAAAACAGATGTTTAAATTTCAACAAAATAAAAATATTTCTTAAAACGTATACATTACTTAAATTTACTAATAAACATAAAAGGAAAAATATATTTTAAAACAAATTTTTTAAATTTAAAGTTGCTTAAATTTAAAAATAGATAACATAATAGTCACAAAAGAAACTGACAGTTAGGCCGGGCGCGGTGGCTCAAGCCTGTAATCCCAGCACTTTGGGAGGCCAAGGCGGGTGGATCACGAGGTCAAGAGATCGAGACCATCCTGGTCAACATGGTGAAACCCCGTCTCTACT